ATGATTCTCAGCATTGGACGGATACGCAAAGAAGTACAGGCGAACGGCACTGGAGCGCGTTGGAGAGAGAACAAAGAAACGAGAGAGAGATGAAACTTCCAGACTTCCCTTCACATACCGCATGATAAAAAAATCGTACCTTCAGTCCCACAAGAACACATAGGTATGAACTCAGTTGATAACTGAAAATATCTTTCTTTCCGCAACGAACTGAAGAAGGAATGCTCTTTATTCACACGTGGGGGAAAAACAACCGAGTAGAAAATAAATAATATGCATCATACACGAAATATGCATCACGTAGAATTTCAGCACCAAGCTCTATTCGTCAAAATACAATCAAAAATGCAATGACGGCCACAATCAAAAGAGGTGGGCGGGGAGGGAGAGGATAGCCAGTAAAACCGGCCATACACTCTTTGAATGCAATCGCACCATAACCGTTACAAGTAATACAATTACACAACTTGCAAAGGTCAGCGTCTTGTGGATGATAAGCGATCAATATCAATCAATAAAAGGAAAGAAATCGTGAAAGAATAGTGAACTAATCGATGAGAAGTGCAAAACACTAGAACAAAATGACCACAACAGAAAAAAACTAGCGACTAGTCAAACTAAATTATTCGTGGCCACGGCGCGCCTCTGAGCTGGCAATCACATGCGCCGCAGCCGCACGCGTCTACTATGGGCATTCTTGTACAATTCTAAGATAATATGACGGTAAGTTCGTAAACAGATAACCAGTCAAGTAAGCGAAATACTGACAAGAAGAGATTCGCGAACAATTTAAAAGCCTCATTTCACTAATGCAACGAGACAATGCTACAAAACTAATTGTCAATGTAAACTCTAGGGGGACAGCAACAGAGGTCAAATGGGCGCAGGTGTAGCAGAGGCTCGTTATCCGCGAAGAGTTGAGATGCCGTACCATCGAACAAATTAGTGACTAGAAAACATCATCAGCCTTGCTCGCTGTGAAAGCTGGGGCGTGTCATGGGGCGGGGTTTGGAGCGGCGGCAGCTCGTTTCCACCAGTTATGGTCGCTTGATCGCTTCTACAATTGTAAGAAAACAGACTGGAGCCGCACCAAACCCATCCCCCGAGACACATCCCCGTCTCGAGACATGTCATTTTTCTCTTAACAGGTAGCGCACCCAAGCTACGTCAGCGGAGTAAGATATTCAAAAAGACGTAAAAAAATCAGTAATGGCGAATAAAAATCAGGAGCGTATACAATATATGACTGGCAAAAATAATAAAATGCGTCGTTCATGAGATAGAACATCAAGCTCATTTCTCAATTAAAAAAATGAAGCAAACGACTAGAACAAGTAATCACAATGGAAAAGTAAGTAAAGTACCGATTTCGTCAAAGCAAGGCGAGTTCGGCTTAGAGGGCGGCATTTCGCACTTTCACTGGTTTCTTTTGCTAGCTCTTGATAAATTACACATCTTACCTCGGTGGGACTTGTAGACCCTTGTCAAGCGTGAACGAAGTTCCTGCTACTCACAGCTTTACAGGAAATGTCACCCAGACTTACATGTCTCCATAGGGGGCATCGGCCGTAATCAACTAACAAAATGACCCCACCAAGCCGAACTGAGCTCAAACGTTATGCTTAAGTGGGGAATCGGAGAGAACCGTATGCAAGCAAGTAGTGAAGTATAGACCACTCTGGCACAAATTATGTGGGGTGATGTTCAGGACATCTGAGTCATAGAACCGCCAAATAGAATCAAATGGGTTCTGGTGAGTGGATCGCGCATGCGACAGCTTTGAAACGCCTTTATCGCGACCTTCGCCGCAATTCGGACGGGCTGACCCACACCCGAGAACTGGGTTAGGCAAAAAAAACGACTAAGTTCTTTTTGACCGAGGACTTTTTGAATGTAAACGAGCAAAAATCTTATCTAACCTATTATTTGGGAATATGGTGATAAGTAGCCTTTCGAGTAGAACGTAAAGAAGTCTTCGATTTAATTGCTTATTTTGTAACGCATTTGATATCGTGTTGATTCCAACGTAAGTAGTTTCAGCGCCTAGGATTAATCGTAACTCGTCCGGCAAAGCCGATAACATCAGAGATTTGGCGAGAATTCTGGCTCTTGCCCGTGACTCTGTTGATCGCGGTGGACTTTCACCGGCCAATTGACCGTCTGGCCATACCGAGTCTCTGTAAAAACAGGGATAAAAAAGGAAAAGATGGGTAATTCAGAGAGTGGGCTGATACCGTAAGACTTACCTAAGAGCAGTTAAGTACATTGTCACTTGCTGCTCACTGGTCAACCAGTGGACTATGTCCACGATCCTTTTATTGATTGACGTACCGAATGGAGTGACGAACTGGCGAAGAACTGTCACCTATAGAGATGTTTCGAAAAACAGGGCAAAAGTTCGGGAGACATAGGGAACCAATTAGAAGGACCCATCTTTCAGGCAAAGCCCTCTATTAGCTAGTACCGTGAATTCTCACATTCATGACGTAAGCTTACTTCAGCAGAAGTACGTCGTGGAATGGGAGAAAAAATTAGAAAAGTTAAGAACCGGAAATAATTTTGTCGCGCCCGGCAATACCTTGGGGCCAGATACGACTATCCTCTCAAAGCGACAGGCATACACAATCCCCAACCCCCTCCCCCACTAGGAGTCTCGCACTATTGTGTGTACCGCGCATAAGACAAGAAGAACCAGCTACTGAACAAAACTTCCACAAATAGTCCAGATACGACCATCCTCCCTCTAGTGATGCAACACATTTTTTTGCTGAGTATCTCTAGCGTGCAGCGTGCCCTGCGCAGGGTACGTGAAAGATATTCGACGCCTACTTTTTTCACCTAAGCCCATAGATACCATTTTCACTCTGAATCGAACGTTTTCCAAACCAAATCGGACTTTTTTCGAACCAAGTCAGACTTTTTTCGAATCAAATCTGATACGACACACCCCTTACCATAGGCATTTGATAACTAGACCACACTAGGTACTGCTGCAAGCCCCACCCCAACATCCCGCCCACTTCTCAGCGCAGTCAAAAGTTTCAGCTCAGTTTTTCCAAAATGTTTTATGGATTCTGCTACTTCGACTTTTTTCTTTTTTTCTATCTGACACACACACACTTCAACTGAAAAGGACTTGGTACCGACACAGATCTGACTCCGCCCACTTTTCAATGAAGTTACCGCAAGTTTTGATTTTTATAACTTTTTTCGACGCCGTTCACTTTACCTTCGATTTTCACAAAACGAATATACTCATAGCCATGCATTCACTAGCACACCAAGCCCCGCCCCTCCGGCCAGTGCCCACTTTGTGTTTTTCGCGGAATTTTGGTTTTTCTTCCAAATTTTTGCTTTTTTAGGCTGTAATAAGTAGGCTCCGCCTACCAATAGAAGCTCTGCCCACATAGGAGGAGACCCGAACTCTTTTGAAAATGATCCATATCAGCAGGCTAGAGTACTTACCGGCAGGTCATGGCCTCCCCGTCACTCGGAATAAAATTCCGCTTTTTTTTGTTCCGGATGATGGGAAGACCATAAACTGCCAGTAAACGCTCTAGCTACTTGCCACAGCCTAGAAAAGCGAAAATTCGGAAGAAAAATCAAAATTCCGCGAAAAACACAAAAGTGGGCGTGGCCAGAAGGGGCGGGGCTCAGTGTGCTAGTGTATAAATGCATGGCTATTAGTATATTCGTTTTGTGAAGATTGAAAAGATGTGAAAGGGTGACATCGGAAAAAGATATAAAAATTCAAAACTTGCGGTAACTTCATTGAAAAGTGGGCGGGGTCATATCTGTGCCGCTACCAATCCTTTTCAGTTGAAGTGTGTGTGCAACTAGCAAAAGTGAAAAAAGTCGAAGAAGCAGAATTCATAAAACATTTTGGAAAACCGTGACCGCGCTGAGAAGTGGGCGGGATGTTGGGGCGGGCTTGCAGCAGTACCTAGTGTGGTCTAGTTATCAACTGCCTATAGTAAGGGGGTGTGTCATGTCTGATGAGCAGGGCCTGGTGTACTGCATTTGGGCGTCGTTTTTAATGGAGCATCTCCGTCACGGGGCCCATTGTAATGCTTTGTCAGTGGAATCAAACAATGAAAAATTGTCCTCCGTTCGAGGCCATGTCAGAAAACGTCACCATCTTGCTGTCGGAACCAGCATTCCGGGCTGCTGTACAAGCCGCAAAAACTCATTCGACAAGTAGGACAAAACGCGAGGAGGAATGATTATCGGCCGTGATTCCTTGATGAATATGAAATCAATTTGAAGAATACTAAAGGAATAATTCAAAAAATGAAAGCAACGTGAAATTTAAATGTGTTGCGACAATAATAATACTATTCCATGCTCTAACAAGCAGGAGTCCACTCGGCATGCCGCTCTGTGTCCCTTTCGGCGTATTCAAGGCTCGGTTGTCTCTTCTGCGAGACTAATTCTTTTGACCGACTCTGGGTCAGTAGTACGCTCCGAGCTGCAGAACCATACTTTAAGAAAAGAAAAGAAGCAAGGGCGAACGCTCCGTCCCCCTTTAAGAATTAAGAACAGCGGCCGATGTTGCCTTACATTTGCTTTACGGACAATCTTACTTCATCAGTTATAGCAGCGGCAACACGATCCGTATCAATCACAGGAGCTCTCGGACCTCCATTCAGAGGCTGCTAAAATACACATAAATGAATGGTAAAGAGTAAAATAAACATGTAAGCGAACCAGACCAAGGCTTTACTCACAATAATAACCTTCGCGGCGCTGTTAATGCCGGCTCCAACCTTCGAGACTCCACCGTACACCTAAAAAAACGTTCATTTCTGCTGAGCTATAAGAGCTCAAAACTATTGCACTACCTGATCGGGAACAGCCATCACTGTATTTCCAACCGCTTTCATGCTCATCCTGATGGGATCGAACATGGCTGACATTACCTGTAAAAGGTCATCATCAATCCAGAGCATCACTGACACCCGGATCCTCTTTAGTTACCTTCCTGGCGATTGGTTCTCGGTTACCCTGATAATCCTTTTGACTGAGGAAATCGAACAGAATACCATCTAGCTCCGGATATGCGTCTAACATTGAAGGTTGCAGGACACATTCCAGGAATAAATTCAGTGCCTGCAGAAAGTTGAAGTTAATTGAAAATGTAAAGTTAGATGACTGAAGAAGGAAGATGACAAGTAGAGCATCACCTTGGTCCTCTTTTCTAGAAAATGTGCATCCAAATTATTGAACGTCTTCTTTCCAGGGAAGGAAAGATTGGCAAGCTTAGGATACTGAAAAACAGTTCGTTAGGAAACGAAAGTAAGGGAGCAAGCTTAGGATACTGAAAAATAGTTCGTTAGGAAACGAAAGTAAGGGATAAGTTATAATAGTACAGAGTGCGTCAAAATCACGCGCGGGATATTACAGGACCAGCAATTTACTATTAGCCCAAAATCTTAGCTTTTCTTATTGGAATTCCGTTTGTCAGATTTCACGCTAAAATCCCTTGTGATTTTGGATTAAATATCAAACAGTGCCGTCATAACTTACCTTATGAACAATGTAGGCATGTAATGTATGGAAATCACTGTATCTCCGTAGAACATTCCAGCCGCTCACTTTCTTCCCATTTATTGATCTGCTCACTCGAACGTTGTACAGAGCAAAGGACTGCCTTCCCTTGAATGGAATGTTTCATTGCTATGACGCCGCAACGATTCCAAAAAAAGTTATGGCAATTGTCCATAGAAGCCATAAAAAGCCATAAAAGAGTTATGATGACCTTTACCTGACATCCAATTCCCAAAGTTTCTACTACGGCCATCGTTACTGGTTTTCCATCGTTTATCATACCTTCTTCTATTATCTGAAAACAGAAATAGAGCCATAGTTCATAGGCAACGCCTTGAAGAAGTGGAGAGTCGCAGAGTTTGCGGAATCACGGACTGTATTGGCAGCGACGGCCAAAAATGATCAAGTAGGTGATCCTCCGAGACCGCTTCGGGACAAGTGGTGGGAACGATCAGAGTTGACCCGCCTTTTTTTCGCCAACTCTCCCGGTTCCAATGTTTTCCTGCTAAGAGCTGGGTGCAGCAAAGCTCAAAAAGTAAAATGGGTACTTCGTAGTTGTAACCCAATTTTGAACAGATGCGTGAAGAACTAAAAGCATCGGTAACGCGTAATATTTCAACAACCTGGAAAATATACCATTTAGATCGATCAAAATGATCATTACAATAAGATACTAATATACGGAGACTATAGGAATTGGAGGCAGTTGGCACGATAATTTGGTACTCGGCCTAAAATGCTAGTAGGTCGCTATATAGTGGGGAAAATGGCGAAAAACGCACTGAAACCATTACGAGTAAAATTTGGGCATACTCCATCGACCTGTCTTCCAGTGTACACTCCGCATTTGCCTGTCTGCCTATTCTCTCCAGGTTCTTGACCTGGACTCATCCTCAAATTTTTTAACTCGGTCAGCGCTCTCATTCTGCCTGCTGTAGAATCATATGCCATCAACCTGGCCATCTCCTGCGTGACTGCCTCGAACCCGCACTCCCTAACTGAGCGTGGTAGCGAAGCAAATACATTTTTAGCCCTCCCGGCTAGATGATCATCGGCTAGTATCTCAACCAGTGCTTCATCGCACGAAATCACTGTTTCATACCTTCTCCTGAATTTTCTCAGAAATTCACCAAAATTTTCACCTCTTGTCCCTTTGAACACCCCCGGGTCAGCACATGCTATGGACCTCAGGTAGTTCACCAAATGAACGCTGCTCAGCACCCCTGCGTCCTCTCGCAGTGGAGCTGTTGGCCATGGACCCGCTCCATGTGCTCGACAGTTATGCGCCGACGTGGATCTCTCCTGCACACCTGACCTTTGCCAACTACCTTCCACCGTAAGCTGCGAAGGTCTCTGCTCGACCACTTCGCCGAACCGCGTTTCAGGGCCTGTCCTTGCTGAGACGCTTTTGGCACCTTGACTCTACGGTGCGCTTGAGCTGAGAGACATCAGTCTGTAAGAAATCACATAACTCATTCACGAGCTCTCCGTCTTTCTCTACAGTGTCGACATAGTCTCTCCATTCGGCTCCTGTTTCTATTCCCCTCTGAGTAAGCGTAACCACAACTTCTTCCATCAACTCTTCTGGCACTACGGGATGGTGTAAAGCCTCTCTTGCTAGTTTCTCTACGGCTTCACTTACTACATCCCAATCTTTTTCCAAATCGGTTTTAGTTTGCCTAGCTATTTTTGCACTGGCTAACACGTTTTTGCCCTTTCCTTCGCTTCACGCACTATCCGCACGCACGCGAGCCAGCTCTCTTGTCGATCTTTTCCATCAGCTCTGGGACTGCCCAACTCAAGAGGTATACCCTGCTCTTCCTCCTTCATCAAAAGTCCCTCCACATCGTCACAACTCATCCTGCTTGGACTTGCCTTCTGCCGTTCTCTGACGACAACCATCTCTCAATTGCGCAATGCCTTATCACGTTAACAACCTTCGAACACCTTCTTTCTTAAATCTGGCACCACCCTTCTCAGTGGCTCGCAACTTCAAATTTTCTATTACCGTGTTCTTTCCTTCCTCAGAACACCCTGCTTCCGTTCAACCTCCTGGCACCCTTTCCGGTGGACAGCGAGGCCAACTTTCCTAATTGCTCTTTCC